TTTCATTGGCTTTCACTGGGTTACTGTGAGTTGTTATATCTTCTTCACTCAGTTTTCATAATTTGTGCCATTCTAGTAATCTGTCCATCTCAACTGTGTCTTCTATTCTGTGAGAGTAAAGACTCTCAAAGTAGCTATTGATGATCTTCTGAATTTCCACTGGGTCTGTGGTGATTACAGCCTTTTCTTTCCTTAGTGCTTGCATTTGAATTTTTTCTTTTCCTCTTTTTGATGAGGTTAGCTAGGGGTGTATCAGTTTTATTTAGTCTTTAAAAAACCTCGCTTCTTGATTCGTTAATTCTTTGAACTGTTTTCGTTGTTTCAATTGAATTAATTTCTGTTCTAATTTTTATGATTTCTTCCCTACTTTGGGCTCTGGGTTTGGTTTGCTTTTCCTTTTCTAGTTGTTGGAGGTGCACATCAGGGTGCTTATTTGTTCCCATTCTGTTTTCCTAATGTGTTGAGTTCACAGCTATGAATTTTCCTCTTAGAACTGCTTTCATTGCATCCCATAAATTCAGATTAATTGTGTTGAGTTTTCATTAAATTGTAGATATTGTTGAATTTCTTGTTTAATTTCATGTGTGACCCATTGATTGCTGAGTAGGGTGTTGTTTAATTTCCATGTATTTAGGTTTTTTTTTCTGGTTTTGTCATTTATTCCCAGTTCTATTGCACTGTGGTCAGATAATATGCATGGGATAATTTCTGTGTTCTTGCATATACTTAAACAGGACCTATGGACTAGTATGTGGCCTATTTTAGAAAATGAGCAGTGTGCAGCTGAAAAGAATGTGTATGCAGGTCTGTTTGTTTGGAACATTCTGTATATGTCCACCAAGTCCATTTGTTTCAAGATCTGGTTCAGTTCTGCTACTTGTTTGCTAATTTTTTGTCTGGTTGACCTTTTTTGAGATAAAGGGGTGTTAATGTCTCCTACTAAGGTTGTGGTCTTGGATATTACATTTTTCATGTCCATTAAGATTTGTCTCATTTGGCTGTGTGCTCCTGTGTTTGGTGCATAGATATTTATGAGTGTTACCTCTTCCTCTTAAATCTTTCCCCTAACTAGTATATAATGGCCTTCTTTATTTTGTTTGATCATTCTTGGTTTGAAGTTGAGGCTTTCTGAAAACAGGATTCCTACCTCTGCTTTTTTTCTGAGGTGCTTCGGCATATGGTACTGTTTTGCATCCTTTTAATTTAATCCTATGAATGTCTTTTTGAGTTAAATATGTTTTTTTGTAGAAAGCATATTGTTGCATTTTGTTTCCTAATCCACTGTGGCAGTCTATTTCTCTTAACTGGTGAATTTCATTCATTTACATGCTGGTTACAATTCAGATGTGTTTACTTATGATTGACATGTTATTTACTTGCTTATTCACCCTTTTTTCCCCTGTATTTAATTGTTTGCCCTCTTTACTGTGTTCCTTCTGTTCTTGTTTATGGAGTTCTGGTCATTTTGGTCCCTCTGTAGAACATCTTTCAGTAGTCTGTTTGGGTTGGCTTTGTCGTCATGAATTTCTTTAGTTGTTCTTCGTCATGAAGGTATTTTGCTTCTCCATCAAATATGAAAGAGAGCTTTGCAGGGTATAGTAGTCTGGGCTGGAATTTGTTTTCCTAGAGGACTTGAACTACTCTGCTCTATGCTCTTCTTGATTCATGGTTTGTGAAGAGAAGTCGGTCATTATTCTGATGGGTTTTTCTTTGAATGTGATCTGCTTCTTTTCTCTAGTGGCTTTCAGTATATTATTCTTGTGCTGGATTTTTTGAATCTTGACCATTATATGTCTCACTGTGTGTTTAATTGGGTTGAAGTTATTTGGCGTTCTGTATACTTCGGTTACCTGAATGTCAGATTGTTTCCTCATATTTGGGAAGTTTTCTGCTATTAGTTCTGCCCACGTTCATTTTATATCACTTGTATTGACTGTATCTTTCTCACTGATATTATTAGTCTCACATTGTTTATTTTTGCATCATCTTGAATGTGATGGATTATTTTTTCCTGTATCTTAGTTGTTTTTAAGAGATCCTTTCTTACCTTTTCACTAGCTGCACCAGCGTCCTCAAGATCTGAAACTCTGTCTTCACTTTCATTCAAAAAGTTTTGTAGGCTTGTGATTGAAATTTTAAGTTCCTCTATATCTCTTTGACTCTGCTTCATGTGATCTGTTTTCTTCCTGTAGTTGCTCATTCAAGGAATCTGTCATTTTTGTAATCTTCTCTATTTTTTTAATCAATGTCTTCTTTATAAGCAGTTATTAATTCTTTAACTGCAGAGTTTTTTTCAGATCTTGTGTCCTCTGTATATTTCTGCATTTGATTCTTTACTTCAAATGATATGAATTCAAAAATTTCTATTTTATTTTAGAAATTAATTCTGCTCTGAGATCCTCTCTACCTTTCTGCTGTTGTTTCTTTACTAGTGACTCTATTAATTCACATATTTCATCTGAGCTAGTATCTTCTGCACTTGTTCTGGGTGGGCATTGGGTTTTCCCCATGTTTTTTGTATTAGATTCGTTATTTCAGATTCTATAAATTCAGAGATTTCTTTTTTCATTTTAGGAGTTAATTCTGCTCTGAGTTCCTGTATATCTTTCTGGTGTTGTTTCTTTACTTCTTAAGCTGTTAATTCATTCATTTCAGCTGAGCTAGTGTCCTCTGCACTTGTTATGGGTGGGCTCAAGTCCTGAGATTGCATTTTGTTCCTTGTCTTTATCATTTTGTATAGCACTGACCTCTGATCTTTGGTGTAGTGGTTTGGTGCAGTTATAACATTAGCACATACTGAAATTCTGGTGCAGATCTGATAAGTTTGAGTTTTTCCAGTTATGCCTGGCCTGAGTCTGTCTATTGTGTTGAGCTCCTTCCTGCTGCAGCCCTTGCAAGTGAACCTGTTGTGTCCATCTGGCACAACAGTGAACCTGTGGTGCCCCTCTGTTGTGTCTCTTGCCCAAGGAGTGCAGGGGAGCCCAGAAACTCTCCCACACACTAGCTGGTTCTGGGCTTGTGCTGGTTCTGGGGGTCCTGAGAGAGTCTCAGAAGTTCTCATTCAGTAGCAGGCTTTGGGTTTGGGGCTCCTGATGGTTGCAAGGGTCATAATGGCACAGTAGAGGGTCTAATTCACGTATGTGCCTTAGTTTTGTTCTGGAAGGGTCCCGCAGGCACAGGGAAGCCAGAAGCTCTCCCACAGGCTCACTGGGCCTGGGCTGGGCTGGATGTAGGGAAAACTACTTACATAAATTATTTGTGAATTTTTTTGGTGTGTAGTACTAGGGATTGAATTTAGGGCTCTGAACTAAGTTCCCAGCTTCCCAGCTCCTTTTATTAAAAAGAATAATTGTCATGGGATCTCTAAGGTAAGTCACTAAGTCTTCTGTCTGTTTTTAAACCTGTTATTCTCCTGCTCTAGCCTCCCAGAATGATGAGATTACTAATGTGTGCCCAACTAAAATTGTTAAAAACTTTCATAAAATAAGAAGATAGCACGAACAAACCACAGGCCATCTTGGATTAGAAAGATTTCCCTAGAATACCAAACTGGTGACTCTATGAACCTATAGCACAAGGAAACCTGTAGCATAAGGCCTCTCACAGGGCCATTTTGTTCCTTGAGCCTATGCCTCTGTTTCTCACCTGTGATATTCCTCCTGTTTGAAGTGATACATTACATTTGTGGGACCCACAAGTTTTCTTGGTGTTTGTTCATTGAGTCACTAATGCTTAAGTCATCCTTTCAGGTCACCTATGTCATTTTATGCTGGGTAGGATGTCATCAGCCCCAACTAAGATCTAAAAGAGTGTTTTAAAATTTTTAAATCAGAGAATATTGAGGCTCTTTTAGTAGCTGCAGATGGTGATAGAATCCTGCATGGGACTGGGATTTCTTCTAGAATCAGACCTATTGCTACTTTGTAATTCTTTCCTTTGAGGGTTAGCATTATACTCAAAAAAGGTTTTAAGTTTATGCTTGAAAGGCACTGGGGAGGAATTTGGAACTAATACTGTAGATGGACAGGACAGGAGCAGTCCTTGGGGCCAAGCAATCCTATTTGTACCAGCTGACCATGGAGTTATAACACTGTGCATACCAACTTTCTAGAATGTGAAGAGAAGAGTTACAGTAGAGCATACTTGACCAGCACTACCTTGGCCAGCAACCAAGATCAGAACAAGCATGAAAAAATCAGAGCCCAACTCCACTGAGGCCTGGCTCAGAGACCCTGGCTATTCCAGACTGAGGCCTATGGGCAGGAAATTTAGGCATTGTAATGAAGCTGGAGGAAGTCACTTCTTCCTTTCTTCATAATTTCCTGTCTGATTTCCCTCTTTACCCTCTGCTCTGGGAATCAGGCTCTTGGGGAGATGGAGTTGCTGTGATGTTCTGCTAGAAAGGGGATTCTGAGAGCCATGGGGACCTCTTGCAGGTAAGAGCTACATAAGGTCTCTCACAGGGCCACTTTGTTCTCTGAATGTATGCCTGTCTTTCTCTCCTGTGCTGTTTCTCTATCATCCCCTTTCCTTTTCTGCCTATGGTGAACCCATTTTTATTGCTGTCTTATTCTTCCAGCATTATTTAGTTTGTGTGATCCTCATTTTCTTTTCAAATTCTAAAGCACCTTTCAAAGATAGCTGTTCTTCCATTCCCAGACCTTCATTTCTAGTCCCCGTGTGAGTGGAAAATCAATCTTGATGATTAAACCGTTTGCCTCAAGGAAGATCTGCCACTTTCCCTTGATTTCCCAGGTTTCTCTTCCTTCAGCTCTGAGACATGTTTTGAGGAAGAAATCACCAGCAGGTCAAGTGAACACCTATCCTGCTCATGAGAGCCAGAATGTCATTGTGGACTTTCTCATATTTTTCTTGCCATAGTCTGTCTTTGCCTGGTTACTGGTACTGCATGAGACCTTCTTAGTACCTCACTGAAGTCTAGCTTTGGTACTGGTACTTCATGAGACCTTAGTGCCTCATTGAAGTCTAGCTTTGGGAACATGGAAAGTGCCAATGGCACAGCAGTGACTGAGTTTGTTCTGCTGGGGTTCTCAGGTTTTCGCTCCCTCCAACGACCTCTGTTTTGGGGGGTGCTCTGCATCTACTTGGTCACCTTGCTGGGAAACTCCCTGATCATCGTCCTCACAATGGCTGACTCTGCCCTCCACTCCCCCATGTACTTCTTCCTTCGCCACTTCTCCCTGGTGGAGATCCTCTACACCACCACCATCGTGCCCAGGATGCTGGCTGACCTCCTGTCCACACACCCCACCATCCCACTAGCCAGCTGCTTCACCCAGCTGTATTTCTTGTCCTTCTTTGGAGTCACTGAATGCTGTCTGCTCACTGCCATGGCCTATGACCGCTATGCTGCCATCTGCCGGCCACTGCACTACACCACCCTGATGAACAATGGAGCATGCAATGGCATGGTGGGGGCCTCCTATCTCATGGGTGTTATCACTGGCACCACTCACTCCATCTGCATCTTCACGTTGTCCTTCTATGGTGCCAACAAGATCCACCACTACATGTGTGACATCATGCCTGTGCTGAGACTGGCTACTGAGAGCACCTTCAGGGGTGAGGTTGGGAACCTTACTGTCACAATATCATTTGTCCTGACCCCATTTTTGTTAATCATGTTCTCCTATGCCTGTATTCTCGCCACCATCCTTGGGGTTTCAACATCCTTGGGACGTCGAAAGCTGTTCTCCACCTGCTCTTCCCATCTTTTTGTGGTTATTCTCTTTTTTGGGACTGCTACTGTGGCTTATCTGAGGCCTGATGCAGGCTCATCTCCTGACACAGACCAGATTATTGGCATTTTCTACACAGTTGTCACCCCTATGTTCAACCCTTTTGTTTATACTTTGCGGAACAAGGAGGTTACAGGGGCTATGAAGCGACTCATGAATAGCTACCTCTGGAGCCTTTAAATACAACTCCCCTTCTAATTTCTTGGAGCTAAGGGCCTGATTTGTAGCCAGTTTCAAGCATGAACTAGCAGTCTATGTGGTCAGGCTTATGTGTATTAGTGTGAGCATTGGGCTCCTTGGTCTAGTCAGAGCAAGGCTCTAAGGCACAGACACACTGCTCAGAGCTGCACGTCTGTGACCCATTTTTTTTATTGTTTTAATTTATTTTTTAAAGATTGTACAAATCCCAGAGTTTTATAGTCTTGACTTGACTTGATTGCAGGTGCAGAGCTAGGCAAACATACACTCTATAGAAGTTGATGAGGGAAGGCAACTGTGACAGTCTTGTATAGTTCTTGTTCTTCCTTGCAGCTCAAATATCTTTCTGGGGTTATAATTCTTAAAGTATCATCCCTTTTTCCCTTTTTCCACAGACTTCTCATCTTAAGCTTTTTCTCTGATGCCAGTCACCCCTTTTGCAACAAAAGCTCCTTTAATCCACCAGTGATGTCCAGCATTATTTCCTGGAGTGACATGGAAGAAACAAACCCTGGTGTGACTTGTTTGGCTTTGCAAGTTCAGTCCTGAGTCTTGCCCGGTGCTGGTTTAGGTGGACAGCCATCTGCCAGTTGTTCTCCTCCTAACTCCACTTTTTCTCTGGGACCTTTGAGCTATTGCTACTCTCCACTCATCTACTTCTCATATATCATTGACAGCCTTGCTTTTTGTTTCCCTTCTGATTCTATGGTGTAAGTTTACACTCCTGCTTATCAGAAGGTTTGATCTCGTGTTTAGACTCTCAAAATATCACTGTTGTTTCCTACAACAAACTGTTCCCTTTTTGTCCTTGGGATGTACCTTAATTTGTTGATCAGCAGATTCATTAACTTTATTTCTTTTTTGGGAAGATAGCACATGTTTGTTCACAAACTCTTCAGTTTAAGTCACAAAGTAGAACAATACAAGTAGAGAAATCCCTCTCAAAGCCTAATAATGAGTACTTTAAAATACCATTGACTTTCTTTCTAGTTTATAATAACAACACTTAATTTCAGAGAATTCTCTACCCAGAAGAAAGTAATTGTTAACATTTTGGTTTTAAGAATGTTCTCAAGGGCCAGCCAGATAGCTCAGTGGATTAAAGCACCTGCTTAGGCAGATGCAGGGAGTGGAGTTGAATCCCCAGCATGCTGTGCTGGCCCCACCCCTGGGGCACACTGAGATGGCGAATGAGACTGGGCCTGGTGGCGTGTACCTGGAACCCCAGCACTTGGGAGGCTGAGAGCAGGAGGATAACTACGAGTCTATTCTGTGTAGTGTGACCCTATAGACCTGTACTAAAATACATAAAAAAGAATATCTTGCAGTCTGTTTTTCCTCTGCATAAATATATATTAAATTGATATAAATATACATATATTTATAAAAATTATAATTGACAGTATATTTTCTAGATTTTTAATAGGTATTTTCTACTTTATTAAACTGTATTTAATATTGTATATTATCAGAAGTCTTCCAAGCATGATATTAATATTGACTTGGTATTTTACTGTATTAATGTACTACAATTTTAATAAATATATCAGAATTAAATTTATGTTCAATCCCCAGTACTGCAAGAAAAGAATTAAATTTATTTTGTGATAAATATTGCCTAGATAGATTTTATTACACTTACATATTTGTATTTTTTTAATGATTTCCTTAGCATTCAGCTATTGAATTGGTATTGCTGAGCCAAAATGTTTTTAAAACATTTAGACTAATAACTGGGTATTAGGACCAGTCAAATAGCTCAGTGGATTAACGTGTCTGCAAGCAGGCACAGGGGCTGAGGTTCAAGCCCCAGGCCTGCTGTAGTGGCCTTGCCCCTGGGGTGTGTAGAGACAGCAATTGAGGCTGGGTGTGGTGGCACGCACCTGTAGTCTCAGGTCTTGGGAAGCTGTAAACAGGTGGATCACTACAAGTTTGATCTAGTTGTGAGACCCTGAACACACTATAGACTATTCCCTAAAAAAGAAAAGAAAAGAAAAGAAAAGAATGGGGGAATGAATTGGTATTATGGCCCAAGAAGAAGGGAGGTGGAAAGTATAGATATATATTTAATATTCTTGTTAGGCAACAGCTGTGATGGGAGGGACATGAAGCTGCCTTTCTACAGCAGCTTAGGGAGGGCACAGTGAGATGCATTTGGCCTGGAAATAGACCATGAGGTATCAAAATTAGATATGAAAAAGCTTTTTCTGAAGAAGACAAAGAGAGGGAAATCCCACTGGATTTCTTTATTAAGAGCTGAGTATGAGGGCAAAGTGAGAAGGACCAGAAGGGACTGGGCTAGCTCAACCCAAGATGGCTTCAAGATTCTTTCACGGATGTGAAAGAAACGATAGGTAAGGTGTTAGTAATACCTGTCCCCCCCCAGATACAGGGAGATGGACTGAAAAGCAAAGCAAAATGAAATAAAACAAACTCGCATCATTGCTTATGAGAAATCTGAGTAACCGGGGATCCTACATTTTTGTTTGATAACCAGCTTTTCTTTGTGCAAATGCCAGGATTGCAGTTAGAGATCAGAGTCTACCAGAAAGCTCTGATTACTCCGTTTTAGAGGAAGATAGCCCCTGAGAAATAGCTCAGTTTTCTTTGCTTTCAGTCCTTGGTATAGCCGAAGTCCCATTGTCGAATCTGGACCAATGTCCTGTCTGTCTTATTCATCTTTCTCATTGTCAGGACACAACACTTGACACCTGTAATTTGAGAGAAGTGAGGCTGATTTGGGCTTGTGCTATATTTTTATTTTTTAATTTGTTTTTGTATTTTAAGGAAGGGTCTACAGGGTCTACAGGATCTCACTGCATAGATTGGACTCGTAGTGATCCTCATGTTTATAGCCTCCCAAGAGCTGGGATTACAGGAGCGCACTATGATGACAGGTCTCAATTGCCATCTCAGCGCGCCCTGGAGATGGGGCCAGTAGGCAGGTCAGTGGGCTTATGTTTTAGAAGTTTAATTTTTGCATGTTCAATGGCACGGTGGAAGGATCTGGGCATAGGAAGCTACTTATCTCGTGACAGACAGTAAGCAGAGAGTGAAGGGGAGAGGAACCAGGGACATATATCATACCAGCTTACATCCACAATCATCCATCTCTTTGACCAGACTCCACATACAAACAGTAAGTCAGCTTTCATGGCTCCCTAATCCACCCACTTTCCAAATGCATGAAATTTTGTGAGCATTTAGATCTAAACCATAACTCATTCTTATCTCTGTGATTCACAGGTTTGTAGTCAGTATTAAAGGTAGCCTGCCCTTGTTATTCTTTACCACAGAATTATATGTATTACCTGAAATTAACTATGTTTCTTTATGATTCCTCTAACTTCTCTAAAATGTAGTTTATCATAAATGTGAGGATGCTGCCTGTCTCACCAGTGTATTCTGGGTGCTTGGAATGGTGCCTAGAATGAAGTACATGCTTAAGAAGTGCTTGTTAAACAGATCAAAGAAAATTGCTAGACTCAGTATGCAGTCATTCTATTTCAGGTACTTCTAAGTTTGGTAAGAGTACTGTTGGTATTTCTAGACTTTGAATAATATCTTTTATTAAGGTTTTTATTTTTTATTTTTGCAAATAAAGGGTTATTTTAAGTGTTTTAAGGATAGGATAGAGATACATCCTAACTATAAAAATTATTTACAGAATTGACAGATTTATATTGTGTATACTTCTAAATGCAAAGAACAGAAAACTGTCTACGTATTGCATAAAATAAAATTAAAAATGAATTCAAGCTCAAAAGATGAGATTATTTACCTAGTTTTAATATGTGAACGTGAAGACCTCTGAACTACACATTCATCCAAAATGCACTAATGATGAAAAATACAGAGAATGCAGCATTTCCTAGGAATCACAGACATTTCAATGGTTATCAATTTGTTAGAATAATTGTTCCTGTTTTGTCTTTGGAGAACTTTCATTTTTTTTGACAATCAGCTTAAGAGTGTTTTCAGACACTACAATTTGTGACAATCAGAACCATCTTTTATTTTTTAATTTATTTTTAATCTTTTAATTTTAATTCAATTTTTTTTGTGGTACTGGGGATTGAACTCAGGATCCTGAACTTGGCAGGCAAGTGCTTATTCTACTGAGCTATCTCTCCAGGCCAGAACAGTCTTCTAATGGGTCTACAGTGTTCAGAAACTCAAGCCCAGTGCACTTAGCACATAAAACAAGAATGGAAATGAAATCTGGTTTAGAAGTAACTGTGATTTTCTTAAGAATTCATAGTCCCTTCAAATGCTGCATGACATAGACAATGGGAAAATAACCTTTTGTTCACACTTCATTTGCTTCACCAGTGCATTTTAATCCCACAACTATTAGAACAGCACAGTAAGCAAATATACAGGAAACTGGAAACAAATAAAAATAAAGATAAAACCAAAAACCTAAATATGTTTAACATGAAATTTAATTAGTTGCATTGAACATTCTACTTAGAATAGAACATGCAAAAAAGGGTGGTCTGCTTTAAGATTCTTCTCTGAAAGTTTTACATGGCAGCCTGACAACACACACACACACACACACACACACACACACACACACACACACACACACACACGATAAAATACTAGAGCAGGTAAATGAGGATAATCAATAAATTTTATACATAGCTTCATGTCTTGTGTTGTCATAAGTCCCATGATAATTTTGGAAATTAATATTGAATTCCTAGAACAAGGAGCCAACATTCAGATACCAGAAAAATGCAAGAAGTGTATGCAGATCTGAAATATGAGCCTAAAATGAAGCCTAGGACACATGGACTTGGGAGCAAAGTTAGTTAACTGTATTTTTTAAAAAATATTTTTATTGAGAAACAAATAGCAATGAGACAGTTTCACAATTGATTACTAGCACATTTTCAAAAATTAATACATTGCATATTGTTGTCTTAGTGGTTATTCATTGTACAAGACGCAGACCTGATATCCTGTCTCAAACA